GAGCATGGAAGGAGTGCGGTTGTTCCCCCATTTTACAGGTGAGAAAGCTAAGGCCTTTCAAAGGATATGCGCCCATCAAGAGCACAGTCTGCCTTGTTTCCCCTACTGTCCTCAGCACACTTCTCTTGTGTTGAAACGCAATCCTCTCTCATCTTGATACTTCAGAGGCTTAAATATGAGCCCACTTACTGAAGCTCAACAGATCCCAGGCTATGGTGTAAGATTTGAGCCTATCAGGATATTCAGGAGCCAGCTTGTATTGACACACTGGAAATCAACTACAAATTTTTCAAGTTGTCTGACACCAGCTTGTTAGATTGAAGTCGACAATGGGTGCATCTATTTCTCAGAGAATGAAAAACACTAGGGACCAGGGAGTGCCCCCTTTCCCTGCCCCTAGGAGAGCTGGTTGTTAAACTTTACTAACATACTCTGGCTTCTCATCTCAGAGCTGCTCCGGTGCTCCAGTGAGTTTGTAACCTCGTGTGAATAATCTAAGCCCCCTGGTGTTAGCCTCTCTAACTGTAAGCTCGAGTTGAAAGTCAATTCTTCTCCTCACTGAGATCAAAGAGAGAAGGCCTTGCAAGATTAAGTGACAATAAATCACTGTCACTACAATGTTTGTCAGTGTCAAGGGTCCTGCTGGCTCATGTGCTTGAACACAGGTCCTCAGCCATGGTGCTATTGGAGGAAGTTGTGGGGTCTTGGAAGCTGGTCCCCAGATGGAGCAAAGTGGGAGACTAGAGGGTGAGTTGTGTGGGCTGTCGACTGGAGGGTGGGTTGTGTGGGCTGTAGACTGGAGGGTGGGTTGTGTGGGCTGTAGACTGGAGGGTGGGTTGTGTGAGCTGTAGACTGGAGGGTGGGTTGTGTGGGCTGTAGACTGGAGGGTGGGTTGTGTGGGCTCTAGACTGGACATGGATCTCACTGAATTCCCTGCTTTCTGATCTACTGATTCCACCAGCATCCACTGCCTCAGGCAGAGTCCCAACCTCCATCCTTTCTGCCATGAACTCTTATCCCTCAAACTGTGAGCCAAAATTAATTCCTCCCACTTTTGGCTGCTTTAGTGGTATTTGGCTGCTTTAGTGGAGCAAGTGGGAGACTAGAGAGTGGGTTATCTGGGCTGTAGACTACAGGGTAGGTTGTATGGGCTGTACGGAGTAAAGAAACAATTACATGCATGAAGCAATATTAACTCGGGAATTTAGTTACAGAAAAACACATGGAAAATGCAGAAAGCAGTCAGGGAAATCTGCAGGAAGATGCCATACTGTGTCTCCTCAACACAGAGGGTCTCGGTAATCCTGGCTTGTGCACATGACCCTTCTAGTGCTCCTTAGTAGACTTTTTGGGTCCCTCAGTAATTTCCTGACATACACAGCCATTCCCCCTGGCCCAGCTGCAGTCCTCCAGAGCCCTGATTTGCAGTGTGGCCACTGGCTTCTTACACAGCTGAGTGTCAAGGTGTACCTGGTGAGTCATGTGGCTCACACTCATGGCCACCTCCCCTTCAGAATAGCAGCCACTGACCATAGCAAGGAGAATGGAAACCCGGAGTCTTCACAGCTTGAGCCAAAGACACCGAGGACACTGCACATGTTAGGACAGTCCAGGATGGGAAAGGACCCTGGGCAAGACAGCACAGCCTCTTCCTCTGAGGCCAAAGGTTACCATGGTGATGAGAGTGTCCTGGATACATGGAAGCCAATGACATCACAGTTAGAAGTGTAAAAATCTCACCGGCATTGTCCTCCTACGTGTCAGGGTTTGAGCAGGGTGTCTCTTGATCCCCAGCATACCGTGGGTGTTTGGAATCTCACTGTTTTAGTAATAATGGGGATATGAGGGAGAGTGGCGAGAGAGTATGGGGAGGAAAGGGCAATATGGTGCTGCCAGTGTGGGCCTGACTTCTGTCCTCTGCCGGCCGTGGAAGACGGAGGTGACAACTGTCCTAGTACTAGCGCTGTATGCACCACAAGCACCCGGCAAACATAATAGCACTGAAGCACTGAATGTCCCCAGTACCGGACACCAAAGACCCGGTGAAGGAGGAGGGCTGTGTCCCTCCACAGCGGAGCACTGTAAGGGAGGATGCAGAGCTGTTCCATCTCTGGACACTGAGGAAACAGGGCAGGGCCTGACCTCCACCAGGAGTCCAGTGCACAGGTGTCCATTGCTCGGACACTTGCAGGAGAAAGGGCAGGCATTCCCAGGAAACCCCGAGTAGTGGAGCTCCAGCAACAGAGCAGGTGGGCGAGGGCCTGGAGGTGAGCACAGTGTTTTAGTTACCACTTAGTTACAGACGACTCAGTATGGCTGCTGTAAAATGTGCCGCGATGGTGCAAGGACAGAAGGGCGGGGTAGACCGGACACTGTGTCGGAGCCCAGCCTTGGCGGACATTGTTCTGGGGACTTTCGGGGTCGACAGTGATGTTTCATTCACAAGCCATAGGCATTTTGGTAAGATTTGCCCAGTCAGATAGACTGGCAATATGCTGTGGTGTGCACATGCTGGTTTAGGTGCTGTCTGGAACTGCTTCTAAGGAGATGGCAACATTCTTCTACAAAGGGAAGATCCTTTGCCACATGTTGTGGCTTCCAGTCCCCTGCTCAGCCTCCTCCTCATCTCCCTGCTCCAGCCAGAGGAGCTGTCTTTAAATGCCCCCACAATCTTATTTTAATAAAAGGTCTCAGGGTGGCATACGGACATCCGGGTCTTGATTTGTCCTGTGTCTACTCATAGAAGGTTCTAGAAACATTGTTTGCATGACAAGTATTAACACTACATTTAGGACCTGCCTTGTAAGGTTCTCACTCTCAAAGCTGCTTTGTCCAGATGGTAGCAAGTGGCTTCCTTACCTAGTTCTACATTAGCTCCTAACAGAGAATCTAGTGAAGACAGCCAGTGAGGTTGAGGGAAACGAACCTCAAGCACACTATCAAAATGTGAATAAATTGCCTATCTACCAACCTTTAGTCAAGCCAACAACATGATACCCCAAGCCCAAGGTACATCTTCCAAAGTTCTCATGTCCTGTGCTGAAGGAGAGGGGAGAAGATAACTCCATGCAGGGAGGTGAGAGGTAACCCAATGGAGGGATGCTCAACCACAGCCAGCCTGGAAGGACCCTGGTAACCATGGAAACCACTCATGGAAGAGGTATCCCTGTCCAATACTAAGCAGGTTACTTGTTTCTGATCATTCACTTGATCTATACACAACATCATGACCTCACCATCCTTTCTCTTTGGCTTTACAGATGAGAAAACAGACAGGCAAGTAGGCTTGCTCTCAAAGCCTGTGCCCTCCCCAGCACAAGCGGCCACAGAAGGGCAGAACATGAAACTGCTTCCTGCTCCCAGCACTGGAGAATGGGATTCCAGGGCTAGGCAGCCAGCATGGTCAATTCTGGTGAGGGTGATGGCTTCTCCCCTGGCTTGCAGACAACATGAACATTATATATTCTCTCCGCCTTTCCCCTTGCTCTCCTTTTCTTCTCCCTCCTTCTCTCCCCCTCCCTTTCCCTCACCCCTTCTCTTTCTCCTTCTCCCCTCCCCCTCCTGTGGCTTCCATTCTCTTCCTCCTAGAAGGACACAATTCTGTCTATGATATAATCATCTGTCTCTTGATCCTCCATCTCTTCATCAAAGTTGGGGTCTGGTTTGGAACCCCTTTGGTCCACAGCTGCCTCCTTGCTGATGTGTAGAGGGCTGGGATCAGAACTGATGAGGTCTGGCTTAGAAGAAGAATATTGGGCCACCTTGTCCCCTTCCTTCATCCTGTCCCTACCCAGGGTTCCTATGTGTGAGCGCACACGCGCACGTGCGTACACACACACACACACACACACACACACACACACACACACACGCTGTCACTCAAGTCTTCCTCGTTCCCCTTTGCCAGGATTGTCTTAATCCCAGGAGAGCACCACAGCTTCACTTTAAACAGGTTAAAATATTGCACTTGACAGCTCAGCTTGGGTTATCACAGCTCAGGAGCACAGATCATTCATTCCACAGAGGCAAAGCTGTCATGGAAACTAATCAATGCTAGGCTCCCAACAGTGCCAATCACAGAGCCTGTCAGTGGGGGAGAGTGATGAGAGTGAGCCTTCCCAAGGCTGCAGTAACTCGCCCTCTATGAAAAAACTCCAGAAGTGGCATGCAATTAATGCAAAGCAGGGCGTCCTTAGGAACCCCAAACCATCTCCATACTGCTCACACTCCTCGGAGGGCAAAAAGGCCACACAGGGTGGCAAGAAGGGAGGGGTCTGACAAGGAGAAGATGGGAAGGGCATCTGGCAAAGCTAGGAAGTGTTCGGTCAAGGAGTTAGGTGGAGGCCAAGACAGACAATGTGTCTTCAAGTCCCATCTGTCTGCTTACTAGTAACATGACTCAGTGGCCCCGTCTGTAAGGTGGGGAAAATAGAGTCATAGATTAAATTCATGAGGGGTGTCTGCCTGGAATGCCCAAGTGGAGGGCTTTGGAGTACCTGGCTAAGGCAAAAGGAAATCCCACAAAGGCCCAGAGGCAGGGAATCATTAGCAGGTAGGCATTTATGGGATGCAAATCCAAAGCAGAGATAACAGTCAGGGATGGAATAGAGAGAAATTTCCCCAAACACGGACTATAATAGACAGGGTGTCAGATTCAGGAGTTGGAATTTAGCACCTCCATTCAGGGCAGCCATGCTATATGGAGAGACACAGACTCCAGGTCCTTCTTGCCATTAACACAATGTGTGAAGCTTTCTAAAATACTGGATACCATTTAGCATTCTCATAAGCCCTGCTTCATACTTCCTCAGATGCACAAAAACAAATTCAATTCTGATTCACTCGATCACAGAACAGAACTGAAATGAATGCTTGAAGATTCCCTGGTGAAAGTACTCCACAGACACCGAGAGGCTGTAAACCCAGACACCTGGATCCTTTCCCTCTGGCAGGGCCTGGACAGCGCCTGCCCCCAGGGCGCATGCCTCCTCCACACTCACCACAGGTTCACCAGAAATGGGTGCTCCAGTCCCTGCATGATCTGCAGCTCCCGGAACACGTTCCGCACCTCGTCCCTCTCCACACACTTTTGCTTGTTCATGTACTTCATGGCGTACATCTTCTTTGTGTCTCGCTTCTGCACGATGCATACCTGCAAGACAGCCAGCGGGAACAACACTCAGGACAAGTGGGGAGAGAGGAGGAAGAGGAGGAGGAGGAGAAACGTCAAGCCCTCACTGACATTCCATTCCGTGGCTGGGTTTCATCCATTCCGAACACTCACTAGCAAAGCACCTTGGCTAAGCCTCTCTGCATCTACAAGGGAGGGGCCAGACGAGATCTGGCATTTAAATGTGAACAATTAGTGCTGGCTGTGAACTCACTCAACACTGGAAATGCAGCCATAGATTCAGAAGACGGGAGGAGCAGCCCTGCCCTCTAGAAGTTCACAGCCCAACAAAGGCACTAGTGACTGCAGTTTCTCAGCATGCATGCCACAGGCTATGACCCTGGGATGCATGCACACATGTTGTGGCTCCCCTCATATTGCAGAAGCAACTGGGACACATGGTGCAGTCACAGTAAAAATCCTCGCATCCAGAGAATACAGCCATGGGACACACGGGCATGCATGCTTTGCCCAGTCCTGGGATTACACCATAGGTATTTGTGTGTGCCTACTACACACCCTACCCCAGTGACCTCATTGCTGGGACATTTGAGAAAACCTGGAGGAACAGAGGAGAGCCAGCCCAAGAGAGAAGTTCTCTGTGCACAGGCAGCAGAAGAAAAAGCCTGCTGGAGCCCGCATGATGCCAGCCCAAGCCTCAGATGCTTCGTGCAGATCCGAGGACTTGGTGTTTGCCGCGATGGGTTGCAGTCTTGCTTTGGTTCAGTCTTTCCTTGGTACGCTTCAGTTCCCTTCTGTGGTTGGAATGTTTCTTCTGTGCCTTGTATATTAGAGGTATGTGACTTGATATTGTTTTTAACTTATAGAGGTTATACAGTTGGGTTGGATTGAGGCTCAGAAGAGACTGGACTTTTGAACAGTGTGGGGACAGACCAGGACTGTGGGGGCTTTTAAAGTTGGAGTGAATGTATTTTCCAGTATGGGATAACCATGACATTATGAGGGTCAGGGATAAAATGTTTTGAATGAGGAACGTCCCCATGGGCTTATGTGTTTGAACACTTGGTCCCCAATGGGTGGCACTGTTCTAGAAAGTTGTAGAATCTTTAAGTGATAAACCTTGCCAGAAGAAATAGTCTATTAGGGCTGAACCTTGTCTTATAGCCCAGTTACCCTTCCTGTTCCCTCTCTGCCTCCTGTGAGGAGGAGTCCACCCAGGTACACAGTCCTGCCACCGTGGGGCATTTGCTTTTTTATCTTGCTATCCATGGTGCACTGTGTCACCTTAAACTGTTAGCCAAAACAAAAGACAAAAAAACAAGGCTTGCCTTTAAACTGCTTCCTGTGAGGCATTAAATCACCATGAGGAGAAAATCCACAACTAACTTGGTCTTGGTTACCCGCAGTCAACAATGAAAATATTACATGAAAACCTTCAAGAATAAATCACTCATAAATTCTAAATTACCCATCAATTAAGTGCACCACCCTCTTACACTTTCCCACTCCATCCTCTCTAGCATATCCACACTGTATGAGAAACACTCGGAGATCCTCTGTTTACATACTATTTGAGAACTTCTACATGTGTATAATGCATTTTGTTTAAACCCATCCCCTTCTTCTTTTCCAGTTTCTCCTTTACCTCGTCATCTCTAGTCTCTGTCAATTTTATCTGCTCTTTTTAAACTCACTGACTCCATGCACTGTATATGGGTGTAGAACAATCTACCAGAGTGAGACAGCCTCCCAGGGACCTCATCTCTGAGGGAAACTGACTCTCCTCCTCCCAGCAGCCATTACGTGCTAATTGATCCCCAGAGAGGGATGGGGCTTCATGAGTGCCCCCACATCCATGCTGGGGTTTGGGCTGGCTTGATGTGGTGTGGGTCTTACGAATGCAGTCACAGCCACTCTGAGTCCATGAGTTCAGCAGCCCCATTATGTCTTGGAAATACTGTTTCCCTGAAGGTGTCCACCACCTCCAGTTCTTAAAAACCTTTCCACCAACCCCTCCAGCCTGAAAACACTTCCAAATTCCCTCCAGAAAGCAAGTATTACCCTGATACCAAAAGTAAAGCCCAACAAAAAAAGTGAATTATAAGCCAATCTCCATGATAAACATAGACACAAAAATTCTCAATGAAAGACTCGCAAACCACATTCAAGAAACATCCAAAAGATTATCCATTATGATGAGGTTGATATCCCAGAGACTCAAGGATGATTCTGTATGTGTAAATCAATCGCTGTAGTACAGTACTTAAATAGTCTCAAGGACAGAAACCACATGACTGTCTCCTTAGATGCAGAGAGGTATGGACAAAAGCCAACATTCCTTCATGATAAATGTCCTGGATAAATTAGCAATTCTGGGTACTGTGCCAATGCAATCAGGGCAACTTACAACAAGCACACAGCCATCATCATGTTAAACTGGGAAAACTCAAAAGCATTTTCATTACAATCAGGAACATGACAAGGGTCTTGATCATATAGTGCTTGAAGACTTAGAACAGTGAGACAAGTTGAAGAAGATATAAAGGGTATACTAATATGAAAAGAAGAAATCAAAGTATCTTTATTTCCAGATGATATGACTCTATATATGAAAGAGTCCACCAGAAAAGGACTATAGTTGATGAATATGTTTAGCAAAGTAGCAGGATACAAAATTAACACCAAAAAAGTAACTTCCCCATATATATGTAAATGAAAAATACACTAAAAAAAAGTAAGGAAAACAGTGTTGTCCATAATAGCCTTTCAAAAATCTTGGAAAAAAAATCTAATCAATTCAATGAAAGGCTTGAATTTAAGACATTGAAGAAGATATCAGAAGATGGAAAGACTTCTCATGCTCACGGAAGACCATTCTGCCAAAAGTAATTTACAGATTCAATTCAATCCCCATCAAAATTCTAATGCAACTCTTCACAGAAATTGAAAAAAAGAAACAATCTCAAAATTTGTAGGAAAACACAAAAGACCCAGGGTAGCCAAAACAGTCCCAAGCAATAAAAATACTGCTGGAAGTATCACCATCTTTGATTTCAAGTTATATCCTAAAGCTATAGTAATAAAAAAAGAGCATGGTGATGGTCTCACCTTGCACAAAACTCAACTCCAAATGAATTGAAGACTTCAATGTAAGATCTGATATGCTGAACCCGATAGAGGAGAGAATATAGAAAGTGAAGCTTAAAAGCACTGAAAAAAAAAAAAAAAAAAAAAAAAAACTTTCTGAAAGGGACCTGGCCACACAGGTATTAAGAACACATGATAAATCAATCTTATAAAACAAAAACGGTTCTTACAGAAGAGATACTATTATTCAAGTAAAGCAGCAGCGCACTATAGAACAAGGGAAACTCTTATCAGCTATATATCTGACAACAGGTTAGTATCTAGAATATGCAAAGATCTCAAAAATATTTAAGCAGCAAGAAAACAAACAATCTAATTAAAAATTGGAGCATGGAACTAAACAGCGTTCTCAAAAGATGAAATACAAATGGATGAGAAACATTTTTTCAAGTGTTCAGCATCCTTAGCCATCAGGGAATAAAATTTCATCTTACAGTTGTCAGAATGGCTAAGATTAAAACAAACAAACAAACAAAACACACACCAAATGCTGGTGTGCATGTAAGAAATAGGCACATATTCATTAGTGGGAGTAAAATCTGGTGCATCCAATAGAGAAATGAGAGTGGAGATTCCTAAAAAGCTAGAAACAGCTACCACATAATTCAGCTAGACCACACCTGGGTGTATACCCAAATGACTCTTTGTCCTGGCGTAGAGAAACCTGTACAACCATGTTCATTGCTGCTCTATTCACAGTAGTTATGAACTGGAAACAACAATCAACGACATGAAGTTAAAGGTCTGTGATTATTCATTGTGCAGTAAATTTGAAACACTAACTATAAGGAAGTAATTGTGCCATGCACAAAGGCCTCCAGGGGCTCTGCCTGGTGGGGATTCAAGCTGGCTCCTGAAGCCCTGAGACCGTGTCTGAAGGCAGACAGTAGTGGGTGGATAATGTCACCAATCAGGGCCTCTTGTTTCTGTTGCTTCTCATTTGCATTCTGAGGAGAGGACAGGAAACCAAAACAGGAGATGGGAAGACAGTAGATTGAAGGCAGCACTGTTCTGCATCTCAACAAGTCTGCAACAAATCACCAGATGCATGGTTTCAGGAAGAGCCTTTGCTTTGATGATTAACTGAACAGTCACTTCTGAAAACCTGTGTAGTTCCATGAGAGTTAGAAGAGGTGTGGATTCTGTCACGTGAATACTGTACTGGACAGGACACCTCTCAACAGAGGAAAGGTGGGAGGTGGGCTGTCTCCCTCAAAGCTGCCCAATTCTAATTCATCAATTTCAAAACAGAAATGCATGACTCATATAAGCAAAAGAAAGACAATATGACTGATCTTAAAAGTTAGAACTCCTCGACAGCTCAAACTAAAGATAACAAAGGATTAAAATGCCAAAGAATTTGAAAGTGAACTTTAAGAAATCATAAATACCTTTAAAGAGGGTGCAAACAAGTGAAGGAATAAAGTAAGAAGTTCAATTCAGGGCCTGGATAGCAAAGTTAGCAATGTAGATAGGAAATTAAGATTATGGGAAAAAAACTCAGAAATGTTGTAAACGATAAGTCAACAAACCAACCAAACAAAACAGTGATTATCACGGTAGGCTAGTTGAAGAAGAAATATCAGGCTTGGAAACAAAACTAAGGAAATACTATATTCACCAAGCAACCAAGAAAAATAAATAAGTATGGCTTCAACATTCAGGAACTCTGAAACATGACCAAATATTTAAAAATCACAGGGTAAAAGAAGAAGCTGAGTTTCAAATGAAATACACAGAAAACATGCTTAGAAGAAAAAACCCAAATCCAAGGAAAAGGAATGAACCACAAGTTAAGAACCCCTAATATACATGACTGGAAAAGACTTTCCACATCACACGGTATTTAAAATGCTAAGGCTGCAGAATAAAAT